GGCACAGGTAAGATGTAGGTAAACAAGAATATACAGAAAAGAACATCGACAGTAGACCTCGCAGAAATCACAAGGTTCATTTCACCGATCTGTTTCACTAAAAAGGAAGCCTCTAGCCCTTGCTCGCTGTTGTAATCTGCATTTCCTTCACCTCACGACCAAGGACTTTGGGTTGAACAGGTGCCTACAAAACCGCATCAGCATCCAAGCCAGGCCTGCGCTCATTTTTCCTCATCCATTGTCCTCCTGCGTCTCACTCTCGTTTGCCCACCAATGTTCCTTGATCTCTTGCTGTGAGCGCAATATATAAAACATGGATGTGCGAGTGATGGCTAGCTCACGGTTGGCGCATGCTCTGACGGGGTATGTTATCACTTGACCCTCGCTGATGCTGGCTCACGTTTGCGTCGCGTTATGGTGGCTGTGAGTGTAGAACTATAAGCCTTTGGGATGTGATGGATCGTCCATGAGGAAGGCTAGTGTTCTAGAGATCCATGTTGTTCCAGCTTTGATTGATCTCAGGCACCTGCAAGCCAGGCAGATACAACTAACAAACGTAGAGGACCCGCTAATCCTGGAACACTTTGTTGGCTGACATCCTTTCACTTAACAAAAGATTTGTTCTTTGAATGGTCAATTAGTTATTCTTTCTAAAATTTCCTCCTAAATTCACATCGATAATTCTGTCAACTGCCATATGCGTGCACACCTTGGTACACATACGTTGCACGACTAAGATCTCAGGTTGAGGAGGCGGCGAGAAAACCAAGAGGGGTTGGCTCCCCAGCCTTCATTTGTGCTTTGATGTAATTTAGGATTTTGCTTTTTTGGGCAGAGCATTGGTGGTTTGTTCGACTTAGGTCTTATCACTCCTCTCCAACTCGATTCAATCCGATCTGGACAAGGTTGCTTTGCTCTCCCTTTTGAACACTGGGCCACTCTGGGCACTGGGCTGTTGAGTTTCGGTTTCCCTTTTTAGGCTCGAGACAAAGGCTCACTGTCCCGGGAGGAGGCCAAGCAGGCGTGTCAAAGATGCTGTGATTGAGATATTGGTCCAGTCGGATCCAATTGTAGGTGATGATGAAAATGGCCTTGCTGAGGACCCTGTATATAATCTGTCACACCGACTGATATACCTCATGTTGTGATTTATTTATTCATGACAGGAATTTGGAAAGTCGACTTCTCAGACATTACAGTGTATAGGATGATCCGCGTTTGCTGAGAGTTTTGGGCCTTGAGGCAAAGTTCCTTCTCTCAGCCCCACTGGGGCAGCGGACAACGTGGGGTGTTACCCCTAGTCAAAAATCAGGCACCGAGGTTGAGTTTTAGCCTCTGTTTGCTTCCGCCTTGCTTAATGCCATTGTTGTTTAGAGTTGATACCTGAGGTGCACAGCAGTTTGCATTCTTCTCACAGATGATGAGATTGCCTGCAGCCAAAAGTTCTGATTGTGACATTGAATTCATGCAGTGTGAAGGCTCGCACCTATATAACCAGGTGTGTGCCAACGCCGGTGACTCTCGCGCGATTTTATGCCGAAATGGAAAGCCTGCCCCAGACTTTGTGAAGTGCTGTGCACGCTTTGCATCTAAATATGCCGATTTGCATGTAAATGTAAACATATTACTACTAGTAACAAGTGCATCGCTACTAGTAACAAGAAGCAAGGTTGCACTCTCAGAAGACCACAAGCCCAACAGCTCAGTCGAACGGCGAAGCTCTGACCTTGGAGGGTCCATGAGTCTGCAACTTTTTAAATTGTTCTTTGCTTTCGTTGTATTTCTTAGAAAGAGGAATAACAAAAGGAAAACACGAGATGACCTTTCTTCTTTTCATAGCCTTTTCCTGGTTCGTTTTCTTATGTATTCTTTTGATATATATGTGTGTATATATATTTATATATATATATACGTAATCCGGACCTCCACTGGAAGAAAGGACGGCGTAAGTGTTGGAGACTGACAACCCCTGCCTGCAACCCAGCACCAGAGTAGCCCCTGGATTATTGAAATGGCTTGTGGCAGATGAAGAGGTGGGACACACTCGCACAGCCTGCACCGAATCAGAGCCTGGGCCCAACCCTCCCAGCAGGTGCTAGCGAAGTTCCAGGGTGTGGCTGCAGGATGCCGGTGCCAGATATGTATGGCCGTGTTGGTGTTGGAGCTTGGATGCCGGTGCCGCTGCAGGGCGCCACTCCCAGATCACGTCTACGTCAAAGGAAAAGAACAAAGCGACGTAGATTTGTGGGGATTTAAGGGCTGACGCCCGACAGCCGGCCAGGGGCGTCAAGTCAGGGGTCGTGGTTCGCAGGTCCGAGGCGCTGGCGCACGGGCTTCACAGAAAAGACGCACAGGTGGGTGGAAGGTTAGCCCCAAGATGAGCCAAGAATGGGCCGACATAGCCAAGATGAGCCAAGCTAGGGCCAAAATGGGACAACACAGCGTCAACATAGGCTCAACATGGGACATAGCCCCAAGATGGGCCAAGACAACGCCAAGATGGGGCAATGCAGTGCCAGCATCGGCCAAACATTCGCCCACGATGCAGATGAAGCACCCCGGTGCGGCGCGCACTTCCAGCATTATTTGGGCCTATGTTGGGCTATGTTGACCCCTCGCGAGCAACACGAGCGGAAACCAAAAACGTCAAAAGCCCTGAGTTGTTTTGTCCCCCACCTGGGGTAGGCTGCTCCCCTGAAGGGACACGGCCAGCGGGGCTTCTCGCCCCTGCTCGGATATTTGAAGGCTTACGCCTAACAGCCGGGCGTCTGTGTAGGGCTGGGTCGGGTGCACGCGCAGCTATCTGGGGCCAAGGTGGGAAACTGCTCCGCGTTGGGGGGGCCGGGGTCTGGGGCACCCCGGCAGCATCCGTCCAACGGACGGAGGCTGACTGCCCTGGCTGCAGATAGCAGTCGAAAGTCAGGAGAGCCGTCGCGGTGGTAAGATACGTTTGAGAAATCCCGCTGTCTGGGGCGTCTAGCTGTCAACCTCAGCACGGTCACGCTGCGCAGTCAATCCTGCAAAACTCAACTGCATCCCTCACCCATCACTACTAGGTAGCGTCCGATCGCTCCTAGTAGCGGCGCCCTTTGTTCCTGGGCGTCCTTGGTCCTAGTAGTATGGCCAGGCGCCCCTAGTAGCGTCCTTGCTCCTAGTAGTATGGCCAAGAGCCCCTAGTAGCGTCCTTGTTCCTAGTAGAACAAGAACGTTGTTTTCGGAAGCCGTGAAAGAAGTTTGTGAAGCAGCTTCGAAGAGGCCAGGCCGCAGCCTCAAACAAGCCTCCCCCACTGATCGATAGAGTATCCCCGAGCACTGGCCTCGCCACAGCTTTTCCCCATCTAGTTCTGCTCTGAATTGGCTCCAAGAGCACGAGCCTGGGTCGGAAGGGCTACCAGCAACTTCGCGCAGGCCCTAGCCTTGGACACCCACCAGTGGCTTGAGACCACCCCGAATACTCGCCGCCGCCACGGCTTTCCCCCATAGAGTTCTGTTCTGAAACCGGTTACCTCCTGAATCTCCAAGGAAGTAGAGGCCTACGCTCCCGGCAATCTCCCTCGCCACGCTTTTCCACCATCTAATTCGAGACCAAAAATCCTCCAAAAATTGTCCTCCCACTGCGGCCCCAGAGTGTCTAACATTGCTTTCGGAGCCCGTAAAACAAGTTTGTGAAGCAGCCTCGAGCAAGCAATCCCTTTCTTCCGCTTTCGGACCTTTAGGAACGCTTCAATCCCGCTGTCTGGGGCATCTAGCCGTCGAAAAAAAGAACTCCTTGCTCCTAGTGGTATGGCCAGGAGCCCCTAGTAGCGTCCTTGTTCCTAGTAGAACAAGAACGTTGTTTTTGGAAGCCGTGAAAGAAGTTTGTGAAGCGGCTTCGAAGAGGCCAGGCAGCAGCCTCAAACAAGCCTTCCCGAGTGGCTCGATAGAGTGTCCCCGAGCACTGGCCTCGCCACAGCTTTTCCCCATCTAGTTCTGCTCTGAAACTGGCTCCAAGAGCACGAGCCTGGGTCGCGCAGGCCCTAGCCCTGGACACCCACCAGTGGCTTGAGACCACCCCAAACACTCGCCGCCGCCACGGCTTTCCCCCATAGAGTTCTGGGTTCCCTGAATTTCCAAAAAAGTAGAGGCCACGGTCGGAACAGCTACCAGCAACTTCGCGCAGGCCCTAGCCCTGTAGACCATCCGCCGCCCTGTGCGCCCCCAAACAGCAAGACCATGCTCGAACCCTCCACACCATGAGAAATCGTCCCTTCTCTCACGCGCTCCCCTTGCATCCGCAAGGGGTCGGCGGATAAATTCCAAGCAGGCACGATGCACGACCACGACATGGAAACCCCTGCGCACTGTGTTGAGTTGTCGATCAAATTTCCTTTGCCTCAGACCCCAGATTGGAAACCTGCTGGGGAAGTGACGAGCAGTTGCAACAATCAACAAGGCACACTCCCGTTTTTGCAACATGGGAGGACTTCCTTGGCTCAAGTTTGGCTTGCTCCCAAAAACTGAGCCAGCAGGTTCCAAAGCGCACGCCGCCATACACATTTGGCAAGGACCTACGGCACCCCTGCAGCCCAGGCTCCAAAGAGGACACAGACAACTCTTCGTAGACTTGAAGTAACTCGCTATTTGGGGAAAATTTGCACTTCAACAAAAGGACGCACTTGGTTTGCATGGATGAACATGTTTTACACCCTACCCACAGTTGAGCAGAACGGGTGGCTTGAGATGTGTTCCACCACAGTTGCTGGCTTCTCTCTGAGGAATAGAAGCTGCGGGTGGGCGTATCGAGGAAATCTCCGTGGGAATTCGGGCCGGTCTTGCCACTTAGGTCCGCTTTCATGAAAACAATGTGTGTCTGACAGCCAGGTGCATTACAGAGTCAACGGAAATTTGAACCTTTCACGGTCAATCGGCGACTTAGAATACAAGTGGACACCTGAGTTGTCAAATTGTTCTGCTTACGTTCTGCGCCTGTGGATCCAACAGTAGCACCTTGTCCTTTGCCAAGGAAGCAGCCTCTTGGGCCAGAACAGCAAATAATTTGTTCAACGCAACGTTCTGAGGGAAGTTTGGATTTAGGCTGGTTTGATGTCCTGTGGTTCAATACGTGGCGTGATATGGCTGCCGACCTCGCAGCCAAGGCCAGACATCGTGAAGATCCCACGGGCTGAGGACAGGACTCTGTTAGGAGTTTGTGCTAAGTTGAGCAAGAGAGAGGAAGGAACAAAGAAAAAGGAAGATAATTACCCCCAACAGTGTGTTTGAGGTCTAGAGGTGTAGCAGCAGAAAGTCTAGAGTCTAGAGATCTAGACGCATTGCGGTCCAGAGTGGTGATGGTAGTGATGAAGGTGGAGATTGTGGTGGTGGTGGTGATGGTGGTGTGTGGTGGTGGTGGTGATGGTGGTGATTGGTTGGCGATGGTGGTGGCCTACCACGAAGTCTGCACTTCAAGGTCCACAGAGTACTGCACCTGCCACGAAATCTGCACTTCAAGGCCCACAAAGCACCGCGCCTGTCACGAAGTCTGCATTTGAAGGTCCACAAAGCACTGCACTTGCCACGAAATCTGCACTTCAAGACCCAAAAAGTACTGCACCTGCCAGGAATCACTTCAAGGCCCACAAAGTACTGCGTCTGCCACGAAATCTGCACTTCGAGGTCAACCAAGTACTGCGCCTGCCACGAAATCTGCACTTCAAAACTCACCAAGTTTGCACTTGCCATGAAATTTGCATTTCAAGGTCCACAGAGTACTGCACCTGCCTGGAAATCTGCACTTCAAGGTCTACAGAGTACTGCGCGTGCACTTCAAGGTCCACAAAGTATTGCACCTGCAACGATTTCTGAAAACGAACCACGTGTCCAAAAGTCATGATTCAGTGCACCTGCCACAAAATCAGAGCATGCCGAAGACCACCACCATGTCCAAAGTATTGCGCCTGCCGCAAAATGTGTACATCGACATCAAAGCTGCCCCGATCTCCTGCACCTGTCACGACAAGTCGACTTAGTCCCGGGGCCTGCCTTTCGCGCGAACTGTGCAGAGAAATTGCAGTTGGAAATCTCGGAAGCCTGGCAGTCAAAACGCCGAGCTCAGAGAGAGCACCCTGATCGAACCCAGGCTTTTACACCTACCCTAAGTACCCCTCAGTGTGGACACACTGTTTGGGAAAAACACGTCCAAGTCTAAATGCCTAAAGAAAGAACGATAGAAGTACAAAATAGAATCGAAAGAACACCTTGTTTGTTGAGGATGACGCCTTCATCATCCTTGCATGTGACGGGGTCAGATGCTTGTACCTTTGCGGACATGACCAGGGCGCGTGCTGCCGTGCAGCATCAGGCAGCATCAGTTTGGGCAATCCAATTGAGGTGTGGGACGTGAAGAGCAATGAAGAAGTTTGCAGCTACATCACCAAAGAACTCAACAGCAGCAAAGATGGTGAGGCGTGAGAGAAGTAATCACGGCTCACCCTTGCATGTCTTGACACCCTGCTACCAGCTGCATTTTCTTTGGCAAGAACGGCGGCGTGAGTGTATTTACTTTGAGCACATTATTTTTTGGGTGGTGAAGGACATTACCGCGGCTGTGGAAGCTTTGCTGGACACTTGCATCGCTGAAGATCCGAAAAAGGCACGTAAAATGGCCAGGCCAATCTAGTTGAAAACCTCGACAACAGTTATTTGGGACTGCGCGGCAACTTGTACATTCTACCAGCTGCAATTGACATACCAGTATACAATTTGGTGCTTAGATTGAACTACACTGGAATTCGATCACTTCACCAAGTTCTTGCGCCCGATTGAATTCCGCACTTGCCAGACTAATGGTCTCGGCGGTGACAACATGACTTGTGCTGCAGCCTAAGTCATATTGGAATGTGTTGTCCTGCAGCCTGCACCAAAGTGTTGCCATATTTTCTTATTGAGTTGCCACTCTTAGTGTGCGTATAGCTAGTATAAATAGATGCCCACTGATTCAGCCATGCTCGTGCGTTCAGCGTTATCCAAAGTTAGCAGCAAACTTTCTCACTAGAAAGCATGCTGTGAGCGCCAGATCGAACCACCCACCAAAAAGCTTGATGACAAAGAAACTGAGTTTCAACACATTCGATCCTGCTTGGCTAAAGAGTCAGGCAGCCTAGCGAGCAAAGTAGGACAAGGAGAGCATGCATGGAAAACAAGATATGAATGACGAACAAGTGTGCTGCTTTCTTCCCTTCTATTCACAAGAAAAGCAGAGCTCACAATGCAAAGACAAACAGGTCACTGTCAAGGATGTGAATGAGACATATAACACTTGTGTACTGCTGAAAACGGCAATGCTCGCTTGCACCATAGCGAGGCTGTCACACTTCGTTCTTGCATGGCTTGATGCCCATTCGCTGTGTGCATATTTCCGAGTCTTTTCCGGGTTCCTGTGTGCTTGTGTTTCCTACAGCTTTGCGTGTACGAGAGGGTTGCGGTCACGGTGTATTTTCTTTTTTTTCTTTTCTCTTTGCAGGTTTTTGCCCCTTAGCTCCTCTGACATGGAGCGGCGTGTTCAGCCTCATGAAGGGATTTGTTTTCTTCTGGAAGCAATTCGTGAAGTCTAGCGTGATGCGTAAGTTGTGTTTAGTTACATCGCCCACCTGTAAAAGTGCATTGTTGCGTTCTTGGACTTCACAAACCGCGGAATCCTGTTGGAGCAACATGGGTAACGGTTATGGTAGATATAGTCATAGATCTAGTCACTCATTAGTCTATATATATATAGCTTTTTGCTTTTTGTTCCTTTACACTTTAAAACCTTTCTTATATGTATCTTCATGCCCTTCTGGTCTGGCAACGACCAACTGCCGTTGCGTTTTGGCAGTTGGTCATACAGCTGCTGAAGGAGGTGTGAGAGGCCATTGTATCTTTATGCAAAAATGCATGGGGCAGCGGTCTCATTGTGCCAAAGGCTTGCCTGACGAAAGTAAGCTTTCGATCATAACAAAAGAAGAGCATGTGCTTGCAAAGCCCGAGTGCATTGCTGCACTGGGGTGAAAGTAGATACACAGCGAAACCAAGGCGAGAATAAATTGTTGGTGAAAGTAGGTCAGTGGATCAAGAAATCAAGAATCTTGGAGGGGTCTCCGGAGGAAAGATACAGTGAGAAGAAACGATACGTCTTGGATGTTGCACATGCTGCTTTGGCTTGTATCATTGTGTTCAAAGCGTTCGCTTGGACCTGTTGCATTGTTTGGCTCCTAGCCACATTCGTGCAACTGGGGACGATTAGAAGGCGGGCATGTCTGTGATGAACCAAGAGTTGTGGCATCAGAGATTCTTGGCCAAACGGTTGCAGGAGTCATGGCAAGATTAAGATCCCGATTTCCCAGAGCACTGCTGGCTGCGGGCCTAGATTTAGTCTTCCTTGACCATGTCAATCAGTTTTGGAAGGCGGCAATGTCATCATACATCAGCGTGGGATGTTGCTGCTGTGATGTTGCTACACACATAGAAACGTTGCCGCAAGTGGTTTCTGTCAGATGTGTGCATTTACATCTTTGCCAGTGCCAACTTATGCCACATTACTTTGATTAAATTGAAGAGAGCATTTTTGTGTGAGTGGCGAGGTTTTGACAGCATTGTTTGCCTGCAGATCCTGGAATTTGACAAGTTTTGTGAGCAGAACACGCCTTAGAATCCTTAGATGGAGCTGCATAAGTTGCAGATGCGCAGGAAGCCTTGCAAGCTTTTTCTTCATGGTGTCGACAAGAAAGTCGTAGATTTATAGATTTGTGTAGAGGATTGTTGAAGATTCAAGGCTTGACTCTAGCACCGAGCTGGCAATTTGCAAGAAGACGAGCAATCTTTGCGCATTTTTTTAAAATAATCTTTAGAGAACCGTTTCACTCATTGACTTTTCGTAGAAAACAGTATCATTCTTACTGAGAATATATTAATGTCTCATCAGAGCGCGAACGCTCAAGAAACGATAAGAAACATATATATATATATATACATACATGGTTCTTCGATGTGCAGTGCAATAGGGATATCAAGCCTCCGACATATCGATGAACCAATCAGAAGAGAGTCATATAGTTGATTATTTCAGGTGTCAACAAGCGCCTGAAACATGATGAGAAATGGTATGCCCACACGCCAACCAAGCTAAATAGCCACAAGGCTACCAGACATGGCGATACGCACGAGGGCAACTAGCTCTTAAGGGCACTTGCTCCATGATCAACAACTTTGATACCCAATACCCGACAAATCAAACAAAATGCCTGCAAACTAACCCCCTCACTGGTGTTTCTTGTTGGACTTACGGGAAACCAAAGGGAGAACGCGAAAAGTCTAACTTTTCGACTTTTTGGGACAACAATTCAAAAGCTTTTCACTTTTCGAGACTGCAAACAGTTGAGTTTTCACACTATTTTCCGCAGCTAGTACCGGACCTGCCTGGTCTCTTTTGGTGAAAGAAGGAAGCTACGGTAGGCCAGAGTGGATGTTGCGGGGCGCAGGGTGGTGGCCAGAAAGTTCATAGCTTTCGATGCTTTTGGATCTTTTGGAAAGCTGGGACTTTGGTATGCCACAAAGAGCATGCGACTTCGGGATTTTTGTAGAAAATCTCTTGAAATGAAAGGAACAAGGAAGGTGGACTTGAGCTGGACGTGCTTAAGAGCCTGGTTGCAAAACGGTTTGGGAATCCCAAGGTTGCTTGGCTGCACGTCCTGGCAGATTGGAGGTCACCAGCCAGCTGCTTGAACGAAGGTGTGGAGGGAACAAGCAGAAACAGCGATACTGATGTGCCATGCGTGCTATGTGCTTTACACATGAATTCCGAGGTTCAAGTTCTTTTGAAAGGGCTTTGTGTCTACTTTGCAGGGCAAGTGCTGCAGCTCCGAGCGAGTCAACGCCCAAGCCAAAGAATGCCTCAGATGATAAGGCCCCCTTCTCCAAGGCAATTTATGTCATGTAGGATAATGACGATAATGTATGTTTATTTGCAAGTAGTGGAGGAGATCGATGACGCAGTCCTTCGCATGGCTATGGCAATGACTGAGGAGGAGCACATTCACTCAGACACTTGATACAGACACGACTAGGTTATGAATGAAGCTCCTGTGGAAGTTGACCTACGGTGGTTCTTTGTGGTACGTTCGGTTCCGATTGCCGTCAGCTTGATCAAGCATCAGCTGTTAAAAAGAGCGCTAGCACAATTCGAGCCCAATACTCTCCGCATTGGTAGCGGAGCCTACCGAAAACCGGTGGGCAGGTGCACGACCGCACCTAGGGTCAGGGATGACAACGACGGCCGACACCATCCCTGTTCCCTCATGGGACGGAGTTGAGACTCCTGGTGGCAGAGCCACCCCGCCGGAGGCGGAACAAGAGGGCAGCGCCCCAGCTCGTGGCAGAGCCACGGAGCAGCACGGCAGAGCCGATGATGAACGTGGACGCTCCACCCGACGAGGTCGAGGCCGCGGACGAGCACGCCCTGAACTACCACGACCTGCTACGAGATCCCCAGGACAGAAAGGAAAAGGTCATGGGGGAAAGAGTTCAAAGGGCAAAGACAAAGGAGCTGGAGCTGGAAAAGGTCGACATCCCTACACCATGGCGGATGCCTATGAGGTGATCGATGAGCATCAGTGGAGTCCGATCTTTGGACAATGGCCAACAGTTGCAGGATGGTACCTGGCTGGTATCAATCGCCTCAGACTGGGATATGGATGTTTTGGACCGGAGCTCAATGGTTGTCCTATGAGCCATCATCCATGGACGGATCTTGGCACCTTCCTCGACGTGAAGCTGAACAAAAGGCCAAGGTAAGGGCACTCCACCTTCGACAGCTTCAACCTTGGAGCATCCATCGCAGCACCGCTCTGGAGGAATCCACATCTTCCGGAAGGGACATTGCCTCCCCATGGACTTCGTGCCAAAGCAGCTCCAAAGGAAGCCGTGAAGAAGGAGAAGAAGGAGAAGAAGGAAGCCAAGGAGAAGAAAGATGGCAAGGACAAGAAAGAGAAAAGCTCCAAGGACAAGAAGAAGGATCGTTCGACTGACAAACAAAAGGAACGACTCAAGGAGCAGAGGACGAAGACCCCGCCTCCACCTTCTACTGCTGGGAAGGGGGAGAACAAGGAAAAGAAAGAAAAGAAGGATAAGAAGGAGAAGAAAGAGCGGCAAGATGAAGAGCCGCGTTCATCTGGCAGAGATGAGTCTCAGAATCCTTCAAACAAGTCCAAAGCAGCGCCTCCAAACCCAGAGCCACCTGGAGAGGATGACGATGAGGAGTACTCAGAGCACACCTATGAAGAACAGGGGGAGAGCGAAGAAGAAGAAGAAGGATTTGAGGAAGATCCTCCGGTGACGCCGTCCAACCTCACTGATGACAGCCGTGGCCCGAGGCAGTATCAGAGGAATCCTCGTGATCCACGACTACGACCACCACCAGGACCACCGTCATCGGATCCCTCTTTGTCCAATCTGACATCGACTCCAGCCGGTTCGAATCGCACCTCCTCTTGAGCATCAGGTTCCCGAGCATCAGGTTCGAGTGCATCGACGGCTTCAACAGGTGAGATCCGTGCACTTCTGGGTCAGCAGGCGAAGCGACAGATCGAAGCCTTCACTGAGTCAGGTCCGGCTGGAAATGTTCAACGGGTCACGCCGGTCATGCGCCCATTTCAAAGACCCTCACCAAGAAGGAGCGAATGGACATCTTCTACAGTGCTGGTGGCAAGTATGCCTCAAATGCCATCGAGAAGGTCCTCAGGTTCAGATGCTCCAATGTCCATCTTGAGGAAGCCAAGTACCGCCCTCAGGACAAGCGCCATCATCATCGCAGGTGGAAGACCTCTTCTACTTCCAGTCGAGTCGCCCAAGCCACATCGGTCCTCTCGCGCGCACCTGGCCAATGTCAAGGAGGAACCGGATTGGGGAGGTGATGAAGATGGCATCCCAGAAGAAGAAGGCGAGGATGAGGCCTATTACCAGGATGAACAAGATGATGAAGCTGATGGAGCAAGAGGCCTATCAGCAGGACTACTACTGGGATGACGAAGAGGATGAAGGCGATTGGGATTGGGATGATGAAGGTATGGACTTGAGAGAAGCCTATGCCGCTGGATGGAGGGCCAAGCAGAAGTCCGCTGAGGCCCGGAAAGCCCGTGGCTACAGTGATGCCAAGTCCAAAGGCAAAGGCAAGAAAGGTAAGAAGGGTGGTGGCAAGTTCACGGAGTACCGCACAAAGGATCAGCGCAAAGCCAAGCCCAAGTGTGCGTCATGCAAACAGATCGGAAATTGGTATGGTGACCCTGAGTGTCCGAACATGAAGAATGGCATTGACCCTCCTCGAGAAGATCCTTCGAAGTCACAGGTCAACTTTGCCACTGACACCTCACCTACGGCACGTGGCAGCGGCGCAAGGGTGAAGGAGGAGATCAAGGAAGAGGATGGTGACAGCAAGCACTCATGGAGTACCAAGGGACTCAATGTGCACAAGGTGAACTGGACGTTCATGGAAGGCTGGCAGCGCATCAAGGCATATCCCTCACATTCCGGATCGACGGTCTCCTCAGCAACCTTGAGTTCTGAAGAGTTGTTAGAGGAAGAGCCCTTGGGATCCAGTGCCGGCAGGACGCAGGAGGAAGCATCTGCTCAGAAGAAGGCATCCAAGTACAAGGCAGCTCTTCGTACGGTGGTTTCCGCCTTGGCAGAAGAAGTTGATGAATGAGACCACAAGCTCAAGAAGAAGTTGCTGAAGAAGCAAGAGCAGTTGCAGGAGAAGGAGAAAGAGTTGGCAAAGGGCGAAGGCGAAGAGCAAAGCAAAAGGATCAAAGCCCGTGGCAATGGAGACAGACCTCGCGCCGGCCGATATGCTGGAGATCCTCCCTTACATGTCTAAGGATGAGAAGAGGGGGCTGTACAAGGAGTTGAAGGCAGAAAGAGATTGTGAAGCTGCCCGGCACTTGGACCAGCATCAGACGGCCGAGAAGTTAAGGAGATCAGATAAGCGACATGATGGTGGCTACAAGGCAGCAAGTTCATCGACGACCCCTGCGCCAGAGCCAGCTTCTACGAGTGATCTTCCTGAACCGTTTCGACGCAAACGTCTCAAGCAATTCAGGAGGGATCTCTGTGAGGGGGCTTTGGACAGAAAAGGACGAGTTCGACCTTCGGAAGCTTCCGAGCTGCCGACTCCAGAACAAGAAAGGTGTCACCATCCTTGGCAGAGCTTGAGGCGGGGAGCAAACGGAGCTGCCCACTGGGCATCGTGCAAAGACTGCAAGTTGAAGAAAGTGCTTTATTACAGCGTGGACCATGGTGCACTCACCGCTGAGAATGTCTTGGATGAGGCTCCCATGGATGTCTGGATGCTGGAGCACGCAGCGCACAAAGTGATCTTGGACAGTGGACGCCGCACTGCAGTTGCTGGTGCAAAGTGGCATGTGAAGATGCGTCAGGCCCTGGGCCAGCGGGATCTCCCGTATGAAGTGCTGGAGCGTGAGGAGACCTTTCGCTTTGGAGCTGGAGCCCCAGTTTTGTCAACAGAAGCCGGTCTCTATCCAGTGGTTTTGGGAGGCACTGGCATCCGATCCTGGTTGAGAGTCGCTGTGGTGGATGATACAAAGCAAGATCCCCGGATTTCAAACTGCCCAGCACTGGTTGGACCTTTGGAGCTGGCGCGCTGGAAGGTCACTATGGACTTTGCCAAGGGCATGACGGTGATCAATGGCTGCAGTGCCCCGACAGAACTCTCACCAACACGACATCCGGTTCTCGAGATTCTTGGAGATGGCAAGGCAGAGGATTGGAATACCTCCGAACTTCGAGAACTTCGAACTGTCCTACGAGCTGGTCCCCACAAGTTGGCGCTTTGGCAGAGCCAAGATGAGTTTTAGGCCGCCAGACAGGAGGCCTCATCCTCAGATGAATCTGGGATGTCTTTTCACTCCTGGCTGAGCCAGAATCAGATCTGGAAGATCTCGCTCTGTGGCAGAGCCACATGGAAGATGAGGCCATCAGTGGTTTGGACCAGATCGCGCACAAGGTCCCCATCCAGGCGGCGGAGCCACATGATGACGGCGCGAACTCCGATAGTCATGGCTCCTTTTCTTCAGGCCAATCTGAGTCTTCCCACGAAGATAGACCATCACCAGCTGATGAGAGCACGTCGGATTCTGAAGGAGAACCTGACCGCTTTGAAGACGCTCTCACTACTGGCCTCATGGAAGAAGGGAATGAGATTTTGACGAGGCCAGCGCAGGCGTCTTCCCAATGCAGCGAGCCAGATTGCTGATGCTGCAGCTATTGAGGTTTCTTGCAAGCCAGCTCTCATCGCTCGCAACCCCAAGCCTACAGTTCGCTTCAAGGTGGCGCATCCTCGAGCTTTGCACATGGTCATGCATGTTGTCCATTACTGAGCGAGGATGCTGGGAAGCTTGGGAACCAATCTCTCTGGAATCAGGCTGGGATGTCAGCACTATGGATGGCCAGAATAAGGCGATGCAATATCTTCAGGAAGCTGAGTCTGATGTCTTGATGATTGCTTGGCCATGTGGCCCATGGAGCCCGCTTCAGAACATCAGTATGAGGACGGAAGCTCAGCGGCTGACTTTGCAGCGCAAACGCCTCCAAGCTCGTCGGACGGTTTTGTCCTTCACCCGCCGCGCCGCTCTTTGGCAGCGTCGGAGGGGCGGCCTGGTTTTTGGTGAGAATCCGGCCACACCCAAGGCTTGGAAAACTCCAGAGATTGAAGAGGCCTTTGATGGGTTGGCGCATGTCCAGTTTGATCAGTGCGAAGTTGGACTTGCACATCCGACCAACCACATGCCTATGAGAAAGCGCACCATTATTGCAGGAGAAGATGGTGCCTGGGCCGAACTCAAGAACAAGATGTGTCCTGACGAACACCGCATCATTGAAGGTGGCTATCAGACCAAAACTGGTCAATGAGTTTGCCGGTGGCTACCCTAAAGGGCTCTGTACAGCTCTTTTGAAAGGGGCTGAAGCCTGGCTGACCGCCAGATCCAACGAAGCCTTCACTGAAGACTATGAGATT